GTTGCCTGTAACTCATGTAAGGGGGAGCAGTTGACTGGTACTGACAGTTACTGCTTTGGAAGTGCTTCTGTTTTGAAGATCTGTCCATGCCTTTTCTGTGGCTCCACCACTTATTTCACTTTCCTTTCTTTGTGGTCAATTATGTAATTTCCTTTAAAAAGTCTGAGTGATTTGTATGACGTGTTTTAGTAGAATAAACACTTGAAAAAAGGAAATTTGACTTATGAAAAGTACATTAAGTTTTGGACTTCACAGAGTCAAATATTCAGACTAAATGTAATTGTGGCAAAGATGAGTTTTGAATATAGAACTATTTGGTATGTATATTTAGATACTAATCTTCTGAAATACACTTCTCAAATTGTGAGCTAGATATCTCTTGAAAACTATATTTTTATAATTCATTTCAAGTTTTTTCTCCACAAAAACATCTGAATTCTCTAAAAATAGATTGTCTGTGGCAGTTACTATTTGTGTTTGCTGTTATATTTTTCTCTGTGGTGTATATGGCAGTGTGTGAGGACACCTCACTTGCTAAGCAAATTTCACCTTTTAAAATGCTTAGTCTGCTACTGCCGTATGCCATTAAACATTAAAACTATACCGTTAATTTTTTGTCTAATTCTTTGCTCACCAAGCAGCCAGTTTAGATTTTCCAGATTTTCCTCAGGCCAGCTTCTAAATGCCTGTCCTGCTTCAGAGAGACATTCCTCATTTCATTACTTTTTTAAAAAGAGCACGTCTCTGCCTCCAGTAGTAATGTGAATTACTTAAATGGCAACTGTTTTCCTTCATGATCCAGTTAACCCATTCATGCGCCACCACATTCTTCCATCCCCATGTGTGGTTTGTACTCTGCTGTCCACCCCTAAAGTCACCATGTGTGTTCAGGCCCTTGTCATCTTTTATGCCAGTCCCCTAGCTAATCACCTATCTACCTTCAGTCTTTCTTATACTTCTGCTTCCAAATTCTGATTGTCTCTATAGCTGCTAGAGTGAACTTTCTAAAATACAAGTCTGTCCATGTCATTATGTGGTTAAAATCTATCAAATATGCTCCATTCCCTTGAGGGTCAATTCCATACTTGTTAAGAGGTACAGAGGCCACTTTCCCCTCAGCTATCCCTGAGCTGCCTCTCCAGGTGCACTTCCTGTGGTTTCTTCTGATGCTTCTTGAACTGTAGACACTCAAACCCTCCTCCATGGCACTCTAAACTTCTTTGTCTTTATGTATGCTGTTTTATCTGCAGTAAAAATATTCTTTATTGTTTCTGCCTGGCAGTCACCGACCTACTCACACATTCATGCTCCTAAAAATCTTTTCTGGAGTGAGTAGCATAAATAAATAAGTAGCTACACAGACTGAGCACTCATTTGCTTCTTAAATGTAATTCCTAAAATATATTTGAGTTTAAATCTACATATTAATATCTGCTCTTTATTTGAATGCCTGTTCTGTGTTCCTTTTTCCTTTTTTTGATTTGTTAGAGTATTTTAAATTCTTCTGCTCTTCTCTATTTAAGCTTGGTGGTTACAAGTTGTTCTACTTGTCTTGTTGTAATTAACTTAAAGGCCACAGTATGTATCCTGGACTTATTACAAAGTCTGACATAAGGGAGTTACCTCTTCATAGAGGAGTTACCCTTTTTTTTGTTGTTGTTGTTTGTTTGTTTGTTTGTTTTGAGACAGAGTCTCTCTCTGTCGGCAGGCTGGAGTGCAGTGGCACAACCTTGGCTTACTGGAACTTCTGCCTCCTGGGTTCAAGCGATTCTCCTGCCTCAAGTAGCTGGGACTACAGGCGCCCACCACCATGCCTGGCTAATTTTTGTATTTTTAGTAGAGATGTATTTTGTTTCAGAGATGGGGTTTCACCATGTTGGCCAGAATGGTCTCAATCTCTTGACCTCATGATCCGCCCACCTCAGCTTCCCAAAGAGCTGGGACTACAGGCGTGAACCCCCACACCAGGCACCAGGCCAAGGAGTTACCTCTTTCTGGGCTTTAACTTCCTCCTGACTTAAACATTATTGTGGTAATGTATTGTAATGCTCTACATAGCTCAAACTCCACAAAATGTTTTGTGTTTTACAGTGCTATCCTGCTGATACTCAATTTACATACATATTTATATTTACTATCATACTTTATTCTCCTGCATCTTCAGTCTTCCATTCGTGATCACTGTCATTTTATTTGAAGAATATACCTTAATTCAGGTTCAGTGAGTTTATTTTTGTAAGAAAATATCTTTATTTTGACTCTATTTTAAAAGGATCTTTCGTTGCAACCTCCGTCTCCCAGGTTCAAGTGATTCTCCTGCCTCAACCTCCTGAGTAGCTGGGATTATGGGATTACAAGCATGCACCACCACGCCCAGCTAATTTCATTTTTTTGTTGTTGTTTTTGTTTGTTTGTTTGTTTTTAGTGGAGATGTGGTTTCTCCATGTTGCTCAGACTGGTCTTGAACTCCTGACCTCAGGTGATCCACCTGCCTCAGGCTCCCAAAGTGCTGGGATTACAGGTGTGAGCCACTGCGCCCAAACTTAAAGGGATGTTTCTACTGGTTATGGAATTTTGATAGTTGTTTAATACCAGCACTTTAAAGATAACCAATTATCTTCTGGTTTTAAAGTTTCTTTGAGGAATCTATTATTATTCTTATTTTCTCTTTTTCAAATACATCATGCCTTCCCTAGCTGCCTTTAGTCGTTTTTCTTTTTGTTTTTTCAGCAATTTTATTGGGAGGTGCCTCGTGTAGAGTTTTGTCATCATCCCTCCACCCCTACCCCCCTGCTTTTTCTTTTGCATTTATGCTGCTTGAGGTTATAAACATCTCTTTAATTTGGGGCCTTTTTTTCACATATTAATTCCATTTCATTCTCTCTTGTCCTGAGAATCCAATTAAACATACTAGGGTCCTTCATCCCTATCCCTTTCCCAGTGCTCCTACATCCTGAATTTGCTTCATTTTGGATGTTTTCTTCTGACCTATCTTCCAGTGTGCTAAAATCTCACCTCAGTTATCTAATCTGCTGTAATCATTAATTGAGTTCTTTTTGTTTTCACTTACTATTTTTTTCTTTTATAGTTTCTGATCCTCTGCTGAAATTCATAATCTTGACTTTTACTTCCTTCAATATGTAAGGCACAACTGTTTTAAAATTTATGTGGTAATCCTATTATGTGGATCCCTTATGAGTCTCTTTCTCTTGTTTTTAGATTGCAATCACATTGTCTTGTCTTATGTAATGCCTGGTTTGTTCTGATGGAGTGGCGAAATTTGTTTAGGAAAATTGTAGGGGGAATTTGAGGTCCCAGATGATGACATCATCCTACAGAAAAGATTTAAGATTACCTCTAGCAGGTGGTCATCACTTTGTTCCAGTTATCTATGAAGATCATTGAAAAATGGCTTAATCTGTTTAAAGGATATTATATGGCCTGTTTAGTACTCCAAGTGTGCAGCTCTTTTCTGGTCTCAACCCAAAGCCTAGGGCTTTTTCTCGGGGGCCTTCTCATTGTCAACCCTGAACTCACCTTTTGTTTCTCTGAACCCAGGGATCTGTTGAAAGTTCTTCTCAACCTTCGTATATGTCTGTCTTATCTTTAATATGTGGATGAACCTGGGGGACAATGGCTTAAAATGCCAGACTTACTTATAATTCTGTGCATTTTCCTACTGAATTTTCTTCACTGCCTTATTAGCTTTCTGATGCCTTCAAGCACATTCTTTATATTTTTGTCCACATGTTCTTATTTTCAGTGTTTGCAGACTAACTCATCCATTATTGGAATCAAAATTCTCTTGAATCATTCTTTAAGATTTGTTTTTTACACATCCCCTCCTAAGCCAGAGTCAGAGAGGGATTGTTCTATTCTTATATGCACCTTTTATACATTCAGCTGTGAGCTCTTTTAGTGCAGAGGTGGTACTTACCATACCCAAACATTTACCTTAGCCTCTTCTAAGGTAACTAGTATGTTATAATCACTCACAAAATATTTGCTGAAATATGAAATGAGCAGTTATAAAAGAATACATAAACCTTTTTCTCTTTGGTGTTAATAGCTTTTTTACTATAGCTTCTCTATTTTTGTTTCCAATTCATAGAAAAGTTCCAAGTATCTTTTGTATCAGAACTATGAGTAAAGAAGTACAAGGGTAACTACAAGTAGCATTTTTAAACCATTAAATGTTGCTGCCTTTACAATTTGTGTTACAGCATGCTGACATCTTGAGCTTGAAATTTATCAGATTAAAGCCAATTTTCAGTACATAGCACCCTGATTACAGGACAGTTTGGATTCTTTTTTGTTCAACAGACATTGGTAATACTCAGATATGTCTCTCTGCTTAATCATAATTCCTTTGAAATAGGTAGGGGAGCTCCATATCTGAAGTGTGAAAATGTTCTGTGGTTAGCTGTACAGTTAGAAGGCATGTTCTAAAAAGCCCTTTCATTGGCTGTCTTTATCATGGCACCAGTCTTGGATTGAGAAACAGCCCGTAAGAAAATTAATTAGTGTTTTTTCCATGGTTAAAAATAAGAGAAGAATTATCCTCTGTTTTATCCTAATAAGCTTAACTGTGTTAGGTTGATCAGTTCTGGCTTTCTACATTGAAGAAAAGTGAGCATTCATCATTTCAAAGCAACAGTCTTTCCGATGGGACACATAGTTTTTTTTTATTACATTTACTTATTAGTGAGGAAAGAAATATGAGACATTAGAAAATGCAGGTGATGTATCAACAGGCCACAGCTGGATTTTTATCCTAAAGGACAGTTTGAATTCCTTCCTGTGACTTTGTATAGTCTGTGCATTTTTAAGAATAGGATAGGAAGTGACATTTTAATAGAGTATTCAGACAGAATGCCAGGAGGAAAAGAGAAATACTTTCACTGACAAACAGTTTTATCTTAGGAAATTAAGTCAAGAAGAGTATGAGCGACAAGAAAGAGAGCAGAGGCTATCAGCTGCTGATGAAAAGGCAGGTTCAGCTGCAGAGGAAGTAAAAACTTACAAGTAAGTTCACCCTCTAAAGACAGTGTCACTGGCTAATGAAACTAGGTTTTTGTTTTTGTTTTTTTTTTTAGCACAAAAGCATACATAAATGGTTAGAGGGCATGAATACATAAATTCACACAAAAGGAAAACTAAATTTTAAGTTAACAAATAGAAAAATATTAACAAACACCCAGTGCTGGCAAAACTGTAAGGGAACTTGGTTCATGCAAACAGTTCTGGGGGTAGGGGCGTGGAGGCGGGCAGTTTGTTATATGTTGTATAAAAAGCCATTAAAGTGATTTTGCCATTTGATAGACCCAGTAGTCCTAACTTTGGGAAATTTTTTTATGATATAGTTAAAGGATGAAAAAAGAAACAAAATGTTTATAGTGGAAGATAACAGGATTATTTGAGAAACATATTTAGGAACAGTTAAAGTAGCTCTGTTAGGGTACAGTTGTTAGGGTAAGTGTTAATATAGTTATATTGTTTGGATTTTTATTTGGTTGTACATTAACTCATAAAGCCAATTGTAATTCTTAGGCGGAGAATAGAAGAAATGGAAAAAGAATTACAGAAAACAGAGTGGTTATTTAAAAACCAGGTAATGATTCTCATCTCCTATTTAGTGCCCAGAATTCTTTGATAATTAATACAGGCTATTATAATGAATCTGTAAGCATATTTTATGATGTATTATCTCTTTCAGATCGCTACCCATGAGAAGAAAGTTCATGAAAACTGGGTAAGATTTCTTTTTTCTTTCTTTTATTTGGTGCATAATCTCCTAGAACTTAATTTCAATGTATTTCTTCAATAGCTCAAAGCTCGTGCTGCAGAAAGAGCTATAGCTGAAGAGAAAAGTGAAGCTACCAACTTGAGACACAAGTATGTGATTTTGATGCCTATGTATTCAGTGTTAAATCTGAAGAAATTCGTTTCTGTTTCATATTTAAGTCTTTCTTAAATACTCTTTCTCTACATTCAAGATTATTAGAATTAACACAAAAGATGGCAATGCTGCAAGAAGAACCTGTGATTGTAAAACCAATGCTAGGAATACCAAATACACAAAACCATCCCCGGAGAGGTAAGGGAGCACCTCTTAAAGGGCAAAAATCTATTTCTGGTCTAAAATGTATATGAATGACTCGTGATTCTGTGTGTAATGGTTATGATACCCTATGAATAATACCAAGAACTTAAGAAAAAAAGGCTGTCTTAAAATGGTAACAAGACATTGCCATCTTTAGGTCCTCTGAGCCAGAATGGCTCTTTTGGCACATCCCTTTTGAGTGGTGGAGAATGCTCCCCTCCACTGACAGTGGAGCCACCTGTGAGACCGCTCTCTGCTACTCTCAGTCAAAGAGATATGCTGAGAAGTGAATTGGTGAGCATTCACATTTTCCTTGCAATACAGTTCCAGGTGGCTTTTTCCCTTTTATTTGAGGATTCTAAAGCAAACAACACTTTAGAATTTGGGTCTGTCCAGTATAGAAAGGAAAATTTCTTAAATTGTCCTGATGGATAAGTATTCAACTGCAAGGATTATTTTAGAACAGAAGGCATTTATTATTTCCCTTGAGGTCCTTATATTGTTTCTTTTAATTTTTTTTTACTATGAATTGTAAGCCTTTATCTTTAAATTAAAGTTCTGTGGGATTCAACTCCCAAATACAGCTGACCCTTGAACAACAGAGGATTGACTTGTGCAGGTCTGTTTATAGGCAGACTTTTTTCAAAAAATACTTTGGGAAATTTTTTGACTTTGCAATAATTTGAAAGAACTTGCAGATGAACCAAACAGCCTAGAAATATTTTTTAAAAATTAGGTATATCATGAATGCATAAAATAAATGCAGATACTAGTCTGTTTTATCATATACTATTGTAAAATATACAAAATCTATTTTAAAAAGTTTATGAAAACTTACACACCCAAACACAGATGTACATGATGCCATTCACAATTGAGAGAAAGTAAACACATGTAAAGGCACAGTATTAAATCATAAATGCATAAAGCTGGCTGTAGTACACACTGTACTACCACAATAATTTCATAGCCTCCTCCTGTTGCTATGACAGTGAGCTCAAGTGTGGTGAGTATCCGCTTAAAACACCGTGTGATGTTGATCTCCATGTAAACATATTCTCTAA